AGGTTACCAGATTTTCTAATTTATGTCAGTGTATATATATTTAGGTTTGAGATAACTTGGATTTTTCAAATCAATGCACCATATTCAGTTTCATAACTCTCATTATACCACACTTTCATTTGATCCAATATATAAACACACACGAAGACACGAAGTATATACTACGTATTATACGGAGTATATAAAAGGGATAAACTATTTAGATGTATGACTAGCTAGTGTATAGTACTTTAACTAAAGTGGAATCATTGTTGTTTTCATGAAAATAGAAAGCATTAATTGTTTCACTTTTAAAAGAAATAATTTAAGAAATCTTGTAATTTTACGATCAACAAAATTTAAAAAATATGAGTATACAGGTTTTGGAATTTCAAAATAAGATTGCTACATTTTTTCCTCAAAATAGGAAGAACATGACATTATTTATAAATACTTATATCTTAGAGTCATTATTGCCAAACAAGTAGTTCAATACTAGCTAGACATTAACACGACAATATTTTTAATCATGACAATGACAACTCATATTGGGGAAGAAAACATAGTATTCCTTATTTGGAATTCTAAAACATTTCTACTTCGGGCAATCTCTCATCTTACTTTGGGATAAGACAAAGGTTGTTGGACATGACTCAACTTTCAATGCACAATGACGTAGGCAACAAAAATGTTGGGATGGACCACTATAATAATATTATCATATACTACGTACTTTTTTATTATATAAAAATTTTACAAATAAAATTCTCCTTATAGTGTATTTTTACAGAATTTTTATAGCTCATCATGCATCCGTTTATTCATACAACTCTGATACATGCCTGCAGGGCAGATGAGAACGTGCAAGAAATGCTACCGCACAAGGCCTCTCGATTTCAGAAGGCACAAAATTTTAAAAATAATCTATATAATATAATAAATCATTATTTATTTGATTAAGAATTCCTATCTTAGTACTTTTTAAATACAAACATAAAATAGTAATATTTATATGTAATTAAAATGCAATTGTTAATTACAATTGTGTAATTTCTTTACTTCACAAGGCCTACTTACAGTAATTAGCACAAAGCCCTCGTACAGTTTGGAACGATCTTGTAACTACTTTCTTTTTCATACTTTGTCATTACTTTACTTTTCGTAATATATATTCTTTTGTACTTTTTCATTTACCTTACACAATACACCTATATACTACACCTACTATTTTCTTCTTAAAACCCACAAAACAAAACTTAAGGAGACTATTATTTAAAAATGGTGGAAGTATTAATATATTGTTTTATACTTCAAAGCTTCATTCAATTTCACACAGGGCCTTTTATATGTCATGGACGGCCCTGCATGCCTGCATGCATATACGTCGATCTGGTTTAGTATTATACATATTGGAAGCTAATTAGATATCGTTTTCTAACACGAATTCCTTGTTCTTTTTCCTCTTTGATATGGGGCCAATATACACTTCCATTTCGACATGTGTTTGTTTGTTTTGGTTGTTTTCCTCCCAAGCAAGTTATCAATCAAACAAAGGGTGTGTCTTGCATGTGTTTCATGTCTACTCTCGTATTTATAAGCCTTTAGTCTTTTGCTTTGTGTAAATTAAACAATGCTTTGTGCATGTTTTCAGATCTATTTTGTGCAAGAAAAAAACCTTTAATTTGCATGCCGTTCATTTGGAGTCTATTTGGGGTTTTAAGTTTGCCTTTATTCGTGTGAAGAAGTATTATGCATACAATTCTCAAGGATGAGTAGTTTTTTATAGCGGCAAGGGGACATTGGAGCGGGTAAGTCGTCTTTAATTTGGCCCACAACTCCCAATTTAATGCTTATTTAGTTATTTATATCTGATTTTCTCCGGATAGATATGGGAGTGTGTTGTGTGCACGTGCAATGAAGCAATATAATTAGGGCTGGACCTGGTCCGACGGTCCCGCCCGATCTGGAAGCGACTCCGGTATTGTTTGGGATCACAATGAATCCGTTTCTTCCGGTTATGGCCTATTTTGGGGACCAAATTGGGCGATCCTGGGTCCTATTTTGCCCTCGGGCCCCGTCCCGATTCCAATGGCTAGTTCATTGTTTTAAATATAGAGGTGGGGTGGGGACATATAACTGTTAGGAATGACAATAAAACGATTATATATATAGCCGTTGGGGGTGGGGGTTTGGGGGTGGGGATGGGATGTGGGCCTAATGTGACATTTAATTTGGGACAACTAAAAAAGAAATGTAAAACAGGTAAACGAGGACGGATGGAGTAGCTACAAAGAGTTAGACACAATTTGGTAACCCTTATTTGGCTGAAGTTTCTATGATACGATAGAAGATCATTTTAGATATTTTCTGGTATGTAATTTTTCTTTGTGTTATTAATAAAATGTACTCTCTCCGTCCCTTATAACTTTGCCAACTTTCCTTTTTTGGATGTCCCATTAAGTTTGCCACTTTCCCATTTAAGTAAAGAATTTGTGGTTCCATTTAATTCTCTCTCATATGCACAAACCTCAATCACACAGTTTTTACTTTATTAATCCCCGTGCCGGTCAAACTTGGCAAAGTTATTAGGGATGGAGGGAGTATTTAAATATAATTTTTGCATAATTCATCAGATTCAGCCAATTCAACCGCTTAAATCGAAATTTCATCAAATTCAATTGATTCAGCTAATTTGAATGTTATCAAACAGACGGTTAGTAAACATGATATTTTTATCTTACATTGGGGATGTTTGGTAAATGGTGTTTCATCCGAAAAATAGTGGTTTGACCACTTTTAGCGTTTTCAATAAGTGAAAATGTTGTTTGGTAAATAACTGTTCGGCACCAGCATTTTTGGACGAAAACGCTGAAATGAAAAACACTGCTAATAGGAGAGTTTTGGGTTGGTGTTTTGAAAAATGGCGTTTTCTACTAATTTTATGGCCAAACAACTGAAATTACCAAATATCTTCTCACAACCTGCCAATTTATTCTGCTAGTCAAACCCGCTGACTGAATCCGCTATTGACAACCCGCTAACATAATCCGCTATCCGCTAACCGCGTAATGTTAAACACGCCCATGGTTGATAAGTCACCCAACAATACCGCACCTCTAGTTTTTATTTTCGGCTTGAAGAACATTTCCAAATTGCAACTTAGATTTGTCAAAATTGGAGCAATTGAGAAATTTGCAGGACAGATTATCTTCTAGCGTGGACACCAATTCACAAAGGCACGCAGTTGTAAATTAAAGATTTAAAGGACAACAATTTCTTATATGCGGAACTTAATTGTTAATAAATTAAACATGAAATGACAGGTATATGACAGTCGGTGGTAACAATATGGAGTTTTTTCCCAGAATAATGCTGCATAAATAAATAATTCCCAAAATACTGCTGGATTAAAAATAATTCCCAAAATACTGCTGAGATAACTGTGGTTAAGAAAAGCCGCCACTTGAAATGGCGGTTTTTCTCTACACAGTACAAGAGCAGCCACTTGAAGTGGCGGCTTTTCTTAAAGAATAAAGCAACCACGTAACGTATACGAAGTATAAGTCTAAAAACAAATGTTGTGGGACTCATCCAAAATTAAAAATCCCCTGTTTTCTTTGAACTGCTATAACTTTTTTATTTGTACTCTAATTGTTACAAAAAATATATCAATATTCATAATTTTTTATTATCTTTCATATGACACCAATATTGAATATATAAAATAAAAAAATAATTTAACACTAAAAATTACTATCTCCGGTCCTAAATAAACTTCTTGTACACTTTACGATACTTGACTGACGATAAAACAACCCGATCCATGTTCACACCCGATTTAATTACTTTTAGTAAATAAAATTTACATTTTCAGAAAATTTACATTTTCAGAAACTACATTAAAACCGCTATAAAGACTGATCAAGAAAATTTATAGCGGTTTTAATGTAGTTTCTGAAAATGTAAATTTTATTTACTAAAAATAAACCGGGTGTGAACATGGATCGGGTTGTTTTATCGTCAGTCAAGCATCGTAAAGTGTACAAGAAGTTTATTTAGGACCAGAGATAGTAATTTTTAGTGTTAAATTATTATTTTTATTTTATATATTCAATATTGGTGTCATATGAAAGATAATAAAAAATTATGAATATTGATATATTTTTTGTAACAATTAGAGTACAAATAAAAAAGTTATAGCAGTTCAAAGAAAACAGGGGATTTTTAATTTTGGATGGGTCCCACAACATTTGTTTTTAGACTTATACTTCGTATACGTTACGTGGTTGCTTTATTCTTTAAGAAAAGCCGCCACTTCAAGTGGCGGCTCTTGTACTGTGTAGAGAAAAAGCGTCATTTCAAGTGGCGGCTTTTCTTAACCACAGTTAACCCAGCAGTATTTTGGGAATTATTTTTAACCCAGCAGTATTTTGGGAATTATTTATTTATGCAGCATTATTCCGGGAAAAAACTCAACAATATGTTGGAATTCAGTTTTCGTGTTTCAAGACTTTTGTCGATGTATTTAAGGCTTTATGTTGTTCAAACGAGAAATATACATTCAAAATGATGGAAATAGTAATGTTTTTATGTTTTGTCTAAACAGTTTTATTGTTACTGGTTCTGTAAGAATTAAGCAACTTAAATTGATTTCCGTGTAGGTATTTTTTATTAGTTGGGTCTGTTCAGCATTGATATGTTTGGGTCAATATTTCTGTTTTGATTAATTCGATCAGTTTGGAAGCATATTGGATTTTCAATCAGTCCAGTTTGTGAATAGTAATCACCATCTTAAGAGGGTCTTTCGATGGACAAACAAATATTAGAATGTTCTGATGAAAGTGTAGAAATACTTTTGAGTGTTCCAAATTACTCCTAGAAGCCATTTTTAGAAATTGGTGGAAAGACTTTTAAAAATATATATTCGTAATTCTTAAATTTTTATGATCTTTCATATGGTACAAATATTGCATATTTAAAATTTAAAAAAATCCGGCTAAAAAGGTATTTAGAAAAAACTCCGTAAATGTTTTCACATTTTTTACATGCAATACTAGTAGGGGTTTTTATTTGAATATTACTAATTTTGAACCAATTACCCAACAAGTGACCACTTTTAAAAAGGGGCAAAAAAGTAATCAAAAAGGTTATATATTTAGAAAACAGTGTCTATCAGATTTGTATGTCACAGAAAAATATTATGTCACTGTAACCGCCGCCCGTGTCACTGTAGCCACCGCCCGTGTCACTGTAGTCACCGCTCATGTCACTTTAGCCACCACCCGTGTCACTATCGCCACTACCACACCTCCACTGCCGCCGCTCTTCTCCGACAACCATAGTGACACCGCTGTAGTAACATCCAAATTCGTGAAACATGTCACTATGACCGCAGATAAAATTCCCGGAGACTTTTCCACCGCTAGCCGGTGATCCTCCCACACTGCCGCCCGCCACCCCACCAACACCACTATCCACGACATCTGTCTCCCATAGACCGCCATGCTCATCCCTATGCCCCAGCACCCCAGACCAGTGAAGCCCACTGCCCCTCTCCCCCTACAGTAGTCGCGGCAACCACTCCGCCGACCACCCCCATCGCCCAGTGAACAAGTCTACCCAACCGCCGTTGACCACCACCACCGACCACCGCCTCACCCGGACTTGACTCCCCAGCTCCCAGCCCCCTCCCAGCCCAGCCAACCTCCTAGCCTCTTCATCTCTGCTACCCAGAGCAACTCCGGTCACCCCTCCCAGCCCAAATTTGACAGCCCAACCCAGCCCCAACCATCGGCTAATGAAGCCTAGCCGCCCCCCAAATCTGGTCGTTTCCTTGTCACCATATCAGATCTGAAGGTTTACGAGGGGGGAGAGGGGTGATAGTGCAGTGAGGCGAGGCAGATAGGCGCCATCCGAGCTCGTCGTAATAGACCGTCAAATCTGTGGTCCTCGTAATCGGATGACAAATCTCTTCGTCGGATCTACGAAAATCGTAGCCGGCCGATGAAGCTTGCCGGATTGACGAGCCTTGTCACCAGATCGATAAAGTTCGAGGAGGTTCCCGTTCATCTTCACAAATTCGCCGCCGTGGAGTTGCTGATTAATCTGCAGAAATTCTCTGCTACTGAGGAGCTGGTTCAATTTGGTGGAGACGGCCAGATGCGCGTTGGAGAAGACTGCCGAGGGAGAGGAGTTGTAGTCACTTTTTTGTAAAGTGTTAAAAAGGTTATATATTTGTCTATCAAAAACCTCAGTGGTCATATCTTGGCCATTGATTCATACTATGATACTAGTACCATTGAAAAGACCATAAAAAATATTCAATTTCATATGTTTTTATGTATTTTTTTTACCATAAATCGAAAAAATTATAACAATTTGAAATAAAAAAAATTGCATTGCCACAAATTGGACTCTAGCAATATGGGGATGCTCAGAAATTGACAAGTCATGCTACAAGCTATTTGTCAAAGGTTAAACCCCATTGCAAGCAAACATGGTGAGCAGACAGACACAGCTTAAATAAGTCCGAAGATCAGCAGTGCGTGAGTCAAATTGGTAGATGTGATTCAATTCATGTGAAAGAGAAGTTAGGGTTCCTTAGTATATATTCTATGACCTTAAAAGAATTATGAACACGTTACCTAGCTACACCAATTCATGGAATAAGTTGTGTTTACTATCAAACTTAGTTCAATTCGTGTAGTGTGATAAATAATTGAGTTTTCCTCAACAATAAAAATTAGACACTACTGATCATTTATCGCCAAAATGGTAAATGAAAAAATATGTTAAGGTGCTCCATATATATACAGGGGGGAGAGTTCAAATAAAAAGTACCCTTCCCGTGCAAAGTGCGAAAATTGCACTTTTACACGTTTCGCTTGCATTTCTCCAGCCGGCGGTCTGACGGGAAACGTTGTGCGGCCAAGGCTGTTTCAGACCCTTCCCGGTGAATTTTTTTAGCGGCATACTCAAATTTGAAAAAAGATTCCATTTATAGAATTGTATTGTAGAAAATTATATGAAAATTTATTTTAAATTTGTTATTTACTTGACTAGCGTGTTCTGTCCTCATCATGCAGTCCTGCCAATGCCAATATGCCAATTCCTCTTACTATAATTATTATTAATATATTGTGATTATTATTATTAATATTATTGTTGTTGTTGTTAGATAGTAATAATAATTATTATTATTATTATTATAACAATGATAATAATAATTATTATTATTATTAGTATTATTATTTTTATTCTGGCTTGCAAACTACACTACCAAAAAATAAGGGATTGTCATAGATTTGGCACGGATTGGTCGATGATTTCGTGCCAAATGGCTCGTGCCAAATTGTTTTAGGCACAATGACACAAATTTTGCATATCTCGGTCAAATTTTCTATAAATTTTGGTGAATCTGTGCCAAAAATCCATATATGTCAATCTCCAGTTTTGTAGTGCTCATCTAACTTAGATGATCTAAGAAGAGGCCGGCCTCTATAATATCCGGACTGCGTAGTAATTGAGTTACCATGCAACGCACGTATGCATTCTTTAATTTCCTACTTACATTAATTAATATAAGGGTCCCCTTTTCTATTTTCGACAGCTTAACATCTCGAATTTAATAGCTAATCGCTGTCGAACATACTATTTCTCGTAACAATAATTAATTAATTAATGACACACGGATGGGAGTATATATACATGCATATATCCACCTGAAATCTGGGTCTAGAATTTATTAGTACACGATATTTATAAAAATATACATAAAAGTGCGGTTGGCCGGAGGGATTTTATTAGGACAAAATTTTTAGTTTAAGTAGGGATATCATAAAGTAATAGATACTATCGTATAATTAAATGAAGTTCATCGTAATATAAGAGCTAGCTAGCTTATAGTTAGCTGGTCCAAATATTAAGTTATTAAGTAAAATCAATACTTCGTACGAACAGCGCGTATAATGATGGAATGATGGAAGAGTCAAAACACTTGAGCTGAAGAATTGAGAATTTCTTGGTCGGAAAGTTTTGAGCTTTGACTAAGGTAGGGCCGAACTTTATAATATTACCGGCCTCCGCTCCGATATAATGGTCAAATAGTGTCATAATTTTTTGGGATATTACCCGAAATAGGACTAAAAAGGTTTCAAAATTCAAAAATAGGACTGACATGTTTTTATTCCCAAAATAGGACTAATTACTGCCATGTTTTGGCAGTACCAGACTTCAAACATGGCAGTATTTTCCAAACTTGGCAGTAATTACTCCTATTTTGGGAATAAAAAACATGGCAGTCCTATTTTGGAATTTTCAAACTGTTTTAGTCCTATTACGGGAACTTTCCCTAATTTTTTTGTGAAAACTCAAATAACCTTTTAAAAATTGTGTTATCGTACCTACCATGTATTTGAGTGGTATAAATCATTATATTCCTTTTAGTTTAGATTTAATTAATTCAATCGCATTATTCCTATTGGTCCATGTAGACAAATGTATGGTACCTTAAGGGTGCCATAGAATCTACCTTTTTGAATATTGAAACAAGTAGTTATGATAAAGGTTACTTTTTTGTTGCACTCTCTATCTTCTCATAATATCTATTTTGTTAAATGTCAACATCATTTAAATGGGATGAGTTTCGAACATGTGACCTCCTCATCGGGAGTATCACGGTGATGCCATCGAACGTCAAGGTGCTTGGGCGTTTGGCTATGATAAATGTTACTCTGTATTACTCAGGTCCGTTTTTAACATAAAAGTCCGGTCATCTATAACATGAGTCACCAATTTTGGAGGCTCCCATTTTTTTAATTAGTAGTATTATAATATGTTACATATTAAGAAATGATCTATCCCTTGCGAACAAGCCTATTTGAGGAGCTTTCGAGTTGATTTGTTTTATGAAATTTTGTGAGAATGTTCTTCATGATAATGTCCACAAAATATGAGTTTAAAATTCAGTCGGGAAGTCAGTTAAAGAAATTATTGACAAATACATACACTTCAGCAAAAAAATTAGCTGACATTTTATTGACATGATCTGCATTTCGTCACATAATCTACACTGTGTCTGACCAAATCATTTCTTATAATATAGTTACATTGTATAGTATTACAATAATAATAACTAAAATCAAACAAGGCATCAATTTTGCATTTGGAACTGGAGTCTACAAATTCATTATATTAGACGGCCCTGGTATTACTACCCACATCCCATTAAAATTGGGTCAAGATCAGAGAGTGTGGTGTGGTTTTTAAGAAAAAATAGAATTGTATAGTTCGTATTGAATTGATAAATAAAGTTTGAATAGACTAAGAATGAATTGTAATCATCCAAATATTATCAAATATCATACGGGACAAACGTAATTAGACCGAAAAATAAGATAAAACGGGACAAATTAAAGTTAGGGGAATGGAGGGAGTGATTATTATTAGTTATGATAAATATTACGTAGTATTAGTTACTCCCTCCGTCCCCCTAAGTTTGGGACGGAGGGGAGTGGTGTGGTTTTTAAGAAAAAATGGAATTGTGTGGTTGGTATTGAATTGATAAAGTGTAAATAAAGTAAGAATGAATTCTAACCACTCAAATGTTACCAAATATGGTATGAGACAAACTTAGTGGGACGGACGAAAAAGGTAAAACGGGACAAACTTAAGGGGACGGAGGGAGTATTAGTTATTACTATTACGGCATGCGTAGTAACATATTTATGCATCAGATATATATGTACACTACTGATACATGTATATTTATGTGTGCATGTGTTTGCTATATATAATACTCTGTATATTTGTATGTGTTTATATTATTTACAGACTGTTATATTAAGGATTTTTTCAGACTGCTATGATTAATGGGGTGAATTCTCTCTCGCATTTTCTACTCAAGGAATTCAAAATGAATCCTTACCAACCCTTTAGAAAATCTGAAAATGCCCAATGAAGAAGGGAAAAAAACTATGTGCGCGAATCTAGATGTCAACTCTTCGAGGGATGTTTTCACATGTAACCTTTTTTCTGAAGATTTTGTGAGTGAAGGGGTCATTGACGAACAATTCTGTACACACTTGAGTGATGATTTTTAGGCCATGCATCAGAGAGCGAGAAAAGAGCTATTATTTCGTCGAAAGACGACCTTTGGGACTCCAATACACACGATGATATCCTGCAACAAAGCTCTGTTAGTCACAATAGAAAATTGTGTACGAACACATAATCTAAACACTAAAATTAAGATGTACGTACAGAAAAAAGTATCAATTGTCCCACACTACTAGAATTTTTGTCATTTACTGCTCCCTTTTTGCTGCGGTTATAAGAACGACCGCAGCAAAATCTTAAAATTTAATAGCATTTGCGGCGGATAAAGTGGGAACCGCAGAATTTGGTGTATAAATTTTTACTTGGGCTACGGTTTGCTACGGGTTACAATACAACCGCAGCGATAACTCCTAAAAACCTAATACTTACACCTGCCTCCCCTTCCCCAGCCTCCCCTCCTTCAGTTAACATCGCGGGTAAAGGACGACCTCTCCCAGCTGCCCCTCCCGAACGCCGTCCCTCCCAGCCCAGCCGTCCCTCCTCGTCGCAGCCGCCGAACGCTGTTTGTTAGCTTTCAGCCGCAACAGCTACCATCCCTCTCAGACGCAGTAATTGCCGTCCCTCTCAACCGCAGTAACTGTCGTCCCTCTCAACCGCAGCCGCTGCTCGCCGCTCCTCCTAGCCACAACCACTGACGCCGCTCTCCGCCCCTCTCAGATGCCAACACCGCACGCCGCCCTCTCCTGGTACCTCCCTTTACCGGCTCAGCTCAATCGAGGTTAGTTTCCAGCCATTTATTATTTTTACAATTACTTTTTAATATATTGAATTTTTTATCAGCTATGATGGTCTGATATCATCTTAACATAATATGCAAATGCTAATTTATTTTCTTAAAACAAAGTTAATTTAGTGCTTTATTTGGCGAACTAGGTTTCTGTATCAAATGTTCTCATGGACTGTTTTTTGTTAGATAAACATGTTTTTTGTGATGTAAACAAGATTATGGAGGTGTAAAGTTAATACCCACTATCCTGAACTGGATGTTCTATATACAATTACTATTCTTGTCGAAGAGAATTATGGACACATGGGTATGGTTGTTCTTATTCCAGGCTATTTTATATTTCACCCCTCTTAACCTTTTTTATTTTCTTATCATTTCAGAATACAATTCTTATTTCAGAAGCATCTGGGAAAGGGAAAGACAGAGGTGGGAAATGACAATGTTATAATAATTATGTTATACTCACAATGTCAATGACAATGTTATACTTACAATGTCAATGACAATGTTATACTCATGATAACAATGACAATGTCAATGTAAATGACATTAAATGACATTGTAGCAATGACAATAATGAGTGTCATTGCCAATGGTGTGAAAAATGATGTTGTGATCATTACAATGTCAATATTGAAATAAAAAATTTCACAATGTCAACTTTGAAATTGGAAATATTTCACAATGTCATATATTACAAATCATAAACATTTTCAAAACAAACAATGTTATAATATTGTTAACATTATTGTCTAAATTAAAAAAAAAAACAATGTGAATGACAATGTTATAAAAGAAATGCCATTGTAACAAAGATATAAAGACAATATCAGTATTAGTATTGTGACAATGTGAAATTACAATGTCATTGGAATCAAACTATTTTGAAAAGAATGTCAACATTACAAAATGTCATGCTAAAATCATTTATCAACATTGTCATTATGAATTGTGTAACAATGTTGATATTATTGTAATATTATGTGATAGTACACATCAAATTGTGACATTAACAATGACATTTGAATTAAATATTATCTAAAAATAAATAATAGAAAAATAAAAAAATAAAAAAAAATTAGAACTCAATAAAAGAAATTAGATAAACAAATAGAATACCATTCAACAAAATAAGAAAATGGAAAGGAGCCAAAATAATGGAAAGCAACCAAGCGTATGCTAAATTGAAAACAATAAAAAATTGAAAAGTTTAAAAAGCTCATTAGAAAGCAGCGGCCAGCAAACCCCCAGATCTGCCCAAGAGAAAAAGTTACCAGATCGAGAAGAAGAAAGAAGGTACGTAGAAGAAGAGGAAGAAAAGAGGAAGAAGGTGGGGAGAGGACTGAGGAGAACGCACCGGCACATCCCACCACACCCGTTGCGCTGCCACGTCTTCTCTATTGATCCGCCGGCACCGCCTAACGCTGATGTATCGCCGTGTCTTACCACATCGGCACTACAGCTCAATTCCTTCTTTCGTTTTTTGGTGCTGGATCGAATCATAATCACATCTCATCGTTTTTATGTACGGCTGAACGTTGTCATCGCTGCGGTGTGTTTTGCTAAGTTGCGACTGATGTTTTCAAAAGGGTTGTTGAGAAGAGAGCGAACATAAGGAACTGAGGAAGACATTAGCCGAAAAGAAATAAGAGGGTAAAGACGTCCGAACTCATCAAGTATGTCCTATTTAGGGATTAAAAAGTAGTAGGTCCTGTTTAGTTACATCAGCTTATTTTTGGTCCTATCTACGATCATTTGTCAACTTTCACTCATGCGCAATGGCGCAGACAAATTAAATGTTGGGTTGGACCACTTTAATAATAGTTCATTCCATATAGATAGTATAATTTTTGTATATATAGTACAAATAATAGTTCTTTTTTATTAGTCCTTCTTTCCTTTTTGGGACGTTTTTTTATTTGTCTCCTTTCCCTTTAAGGAAAGTTGTTGAGAAAATACCCTCACTTTTATTACTTTTATCCCACTTACTTTTTACAAACTACTTTCTCTTTCCTACTTTACCATCACTTTAATCTTCTTAATACACTCTATTTCCTACTTTATCATCACTTTACTCTTTTTAATATACCATTTTTCCTACTTTATCATTTACCCTACACACTTTATACTTACCCTACTACTTTATTATTAAATCTCGTGCCAAACCCTAAGAGGACTAATAAAAAAGAACGGAGGGAGTATAACTTTTACATAATTTAATTTGGAGGGTCGGATCCTAGCTTAGCCATAGCTACACGGCTACACCTCATGCATCCGTTTATTCATACAACTCTTATACATCCCATGCATATACATAATACATAATACATTGATCAGGTTTATTTATAATATTGGAGGCTAAGGTAGATATATCGTTTTCCAACACGAAATACTTGTTCTTTTTCCTCTTTGATATGGGGCCAATATACACTTCCATTTCGACATGTGTTTGTTTGTTTTGGTTGTTTTCCTTTCAAGCAAGTTATCAATCAAACAAAGGGTGTGTCTTGCATGTGTTTCATGTCTACTATATATATAAGCCTTTAGTCTTTTGCGTAGTGTAAATTAAACAATGCTTTGTGCATGTTCTTAGAGCTATTTTGTGCAAGAAAAAAACCTTTAATTTGCATGCCGATCATTTGGAGTCTATTTGGGGTTTTAAGCGTGCCTTTATGCGTGTTTTTATCAAGAAGTATTATGCATACAATTCTCAAGGCTTAGCTGGTCGCTGACTCACTCTCCATGGGAGGTCTCGGGTTCGAAACTCAATAGAGTGAGTTTCAACCCAGTTTACACCAGGCTCCCCGAACCCCCCTCCCCCAGACACCCCCTAGAGTAATTAAAAAAAATCTCAAGGATGAGTAGTTTTTTACAACGGCAAGGGGACATTGGAGCGGGTAAGTCGTCTTTACTTTGGCCCACAAGTCCCAACTTAACGCTTATTTATTTCTTATTTTCTCCGGATAGATCGATATGGGAGTGTGCACATACGGTGAGGTCATGTAAGGGGTGGACCTGCTCCAACGGTGCAGCCCGGTCCGAAAGCAGGTCCGGTACTGTTTAAGATCAGATTGGATAATTTTTTAGTCCCGGTTCAAGACTGGTTACCCGAACGGATAATCGGCAAACCTGGTACATGTATGAATTATGGGGACCATATCGAGCAGTCTCGGGCCCCGTTCCAGTCCCAAAGATTAGTTCTTTTTTTGAATAAAGGGGTGGGGTGGAGGTATATAGTCGTTAGGAATGACTATAAAACAGCTATATAGTCATTTGGAGCGGGGTTTGGGGGCGGGGATGGGCTAAGGGCCTAATGTGACACTTAATTCGAGGCAACTCAAAAAGAAAGGTAAGACAGATAAAATGGGATGGATGAAGTAGTTACAAAAACTTTGACTCTTTGGTAATCCTTATTTTCAGCTTCTCAGTTCTGTTAGTCAACTTTTTAATCAAACGTGTAATTTTTATTAAATGCGTTAAATAGTGTATTAATCGAAATAAATAGGGTTGAAGTTATTTTTGTGTATGAGTTGGCTGAAGTTACTACTAGTATAAAACTATAGAAGATCATTTTAGATAATTTCATATAATTTTTCTTTGTGTTTCTAATAAAATTAAATTAAATATATTTTTGCATAATTCAGCAGATTCAGTCGATTCAACCGTTTAAACCGAAATCTCATCAAATTCAACAGATTCATCTAATTCAGTAAATTTCAATGTCATCAAAGAGATTCTTGGAGGCTTAGTAAACATGTTAGTTTGATTTTGCATTGTTGCTAAGTCACCGAACAATAGCATTTTTTGTCGCTTTTAGTCCTCCAACTATTATGTCACTGACACTTTTGGTACTCATCTTTGATTTTTTCCACTTGGGAAAAGGCTAAAAAAATACACCGATGTTTTTAATGAAGTTCGGATTGGACACTAAAGTTTTAAGTAGACCAAATAAACACAAATTTAAACTTTTTGAGTCAATTTCAGCAACCCTTTAACATCCCCGTTAGATGACCCTTCCCTGTCGTTAAACAACACCCTTCCCCGTCGTTAAACAACACAGCCTCAATCTATGAAAACCAAGTTTGTGTAGAGAATTGGAATTTGGAAGCCTTCTGTACGTTTGAACGGATCAAATTAAGGAGGGTGTCTAAAGTAGCCTTCGGTTTGCCGGAGGATGAAGAATCGTAGAGCTATTGCTGAGATCAATTTCTAACGATGGTCTGCTGCAATTTTCTTCCGGTGATGAGCGGCACAGAGATGTTGGTGTTATAGGCGGGTTTTGATGTTGGTTTGCTGTGTTAGATGTCGAGGCTGCCTATTGATTGTGAAGAATAGTGGACCATTGTCCGTGTTCTTTGTCGGACTAATGGTGTCGTTTGTTGGAGAGAAAGAAATCAGTCGGTTGAAAATCAGAGGAGTCTTTGTCCCCGTTGCCGGTGCTCGTTCGCCAGAAGATAAAGTTGATCGGTGAGCTGCTTCCGAAGCTGTACATCACTGGCCAGATTTTCTTTGTTGAGCGGCGAGCAGAGGTTTCAAGGAAGGTAGCCATCGATTTCTGATCTCTTGTTATCCATGTGCCCAAGAAGAAGGAGCTCAATCTCTCATTTTTGCTGCTGGTTTAATTTGAAGTAGCGAGTCGGTGTTTCTGTTCACCGTAGAAGATGTGTGCCGATTGCTGCACTTGGGAGAAGAAGATCTGAATCGATGGGTTCTGGTTTCTGAGGATTGGGAGCAAGCGAGGCGAAGTTCTGCTTTCTAGGGGCATCAAACGGACCAAAATAACGGAGCAGTTAAGGGTGACTTAAATGGATTCAATAAGTTTAGGTTTATTTGATCCTCCTAAAATTTTAGTGTTCAATCCGGACTTTATTAAAAACATTAGTGTCATTTTTGGCCCTTTTCCCTTTCCACTTTTAGTTCTTTGACTATTATATTGTGTGACATACACTTTTGGTGTCTGTCTTTGAAAATTTCTACATTTAGTCATCCAACTTTCATAAAAGTGACATTTTTGGTTCTTCAACTATTATAATAGTGACAGTTTTAGTCCTCCACTAATTGTATCAAATTCACAATGGACGGATTAAAAGTGTCAATTTTATAATACTCGGGGGACTAAATGTAGAAAACATTGAAGTCGAGAATTAAAAGTGTCTTTTCGCGCAATAGTCGAGGACTAAAAATGAAAAAATTGAAAGTCGAGTACCAAAAGTGTCACTGACTCAGGAGCAAGTGAAAATGGAAGAAACTCCCGAACAATACGGCACACCTAGTTTTTATTTTTTAAGGACGGCTTGAAGAACATGCATTTCCAAATTCCAACTTAGATTTCAAAATTGGAGTACTTGAGGAATTTGCAGGATTGATCTTCTAGCCTGGACACCCAATTCACAAAGGCAGTTGTAAATTAAAGATTTAAAGGACAATTTTTTTATGCGGATCGGAACTTAATTGTTCATAAATTAAAATGAAACGACAGGTATATGAAAGTTTAGATACCATAGTCGGTGGTAACAATATGTTGGAATTCAGTTTTCGTGTTTAAGGACTTTTGTCCATGTATTTAAGGCTTTATGTTGTTCAAACGAGAAATATACATTCAAAATGATGGAAATAGTAATGTTTTTATGCTTTGTTTAAACAGTTTTATTGCTACTGGTTCTGTAAGAATTAAGCAACTTAAATTAATTTCCGTGTAGGTATTTTTTATTAGTTGGGTCTGTTCAGCATTGATATGTTTGGGTCATTTATGATTTATTAGTTGGGTCTGTCCAGTTGGTGAATACGGAGTAGTTTTGTTCAACCCAAGGGCAGACTTTTAGGTCACAGGAATCGCCATCTTAATGGAGCAACGAGATGGAGTAACTGAGTAAGAGGGTGTTTTAATGGACAAGCAAATACTATTGTATTACTCCAACAAGCAATTTTTGGAAATTGGTCAAAAAATTGATTCTGATTTTACTTCTGTTTTTGAAAGAAGAAGCAAAAGTTGAATCAATTCTGTGATTAGACTTGTGTTTGGATCCATATACTCCATCAAATGATAGTCGCACTTTTAATCCTTTAATTATTCTCTTATTGAAATATAATCCTCTCATATGTTCATTCAACTTTATAAATGTCATCCCCAATTGTGAATTGTGGAAATGTGATGATTAACATTGAATTAAAGTAACACTATCAAATTTTGTAACATTGACATGGTTAAGATGGTAACTTGACGCGACAAAAAATATGTAATATTTTAGTTTTTTGCAGTGATAACTTTTGTCTCTAAATTTAGGCCAGAGATTAAATATGTTGGTGAGAAACATTTTATTTTACGGATCATAGATATCCGGCCGAGACAAAACAAAAATGAGAGGGCCAGAAAATTGAATACTTTTTTGAAATAATTAAATAAATATGACCAAAATAAAGATGATTTACAAAAATATGACTCATTACTAGAGTAGTAATGAAATCATAGTAATTCATGTTGAAGTTTTGAACTTAAGTTACCACAACACTACATTGTAGTAATGAATAGTCATATTTATGTAAATAAGTTTTATTTTAGTAATATTCTTGTAAAAAACCCTACTTTTTTACTATGAATCAACATTTTCTATAAAGTTAGGCCACAAACAAAAGATGTCGGCCACAAAAAATCTAATTTTACAAACAATACATG